TTGTTTACAAATGTGTGGTTTTTATTCTAGACTTAGCAGTGTGCTGAAAAAGGTTACCAAGTTTTTTTTGCAAACCGTAGTTTTCAAGCGACATTTGACAGATGAAGGTCATTGGCTTTCCTATTCTTATTTGAATCGCATTATAAGTTATTTACGGGATTGTTACCATGTACCTTGCGCTTGCAACAGTGCCGCAATATCGGAAATTCGCTAAAAACAAGGTACATGGTAACAATCCCGTAAATAACTTATATTACTATATTGCACTGATTTATTTATTTATTGACGTTTCGCATCCCGTTTAGGATGTGTCGTCTGAATTATTCAGAACTAGTGGCCCGCCCTCGCTTCGCTTCGGTGTAGAGCTGTAGTGTAAACTATAGTTTTTGTTCTCAGGCTTGTATTGCTTATAAACAATGACTTTATTTAAATAATTACACGTGTTATTGTGAGTCAACCATAAAAGATAGACATATGCTACTGCGGAATATTTTTTAGACCATTTTATGTAGAATATTTCCGTCATACATGATTTCTATGTAACTTTAACCATTAAGGCTGTGCACGCGACGGAAGCTTAAAAAATGCAGTAATTTCTCCCGTTTTCCCAACATTTCCCTTCACTACTCTGCTCCTATTGATTGTAGGGTGATGAAAAGTATACTTTAACCTGCCCAGGAGTATGAAGAATAATTGTACCAAGTTTCGTTAAAATCCGTCGAGTAGTTTTTGTGTCTATAAGGAACATACACACAGACAGACAGACAAAAATTTTACTGATTGCATTTTTGGCATCAGTATCGATCACTAATCACCCTTTGATAGTTATTTTGAAAATATATTTCATGTACAGAATTGACCTCTCTACAGATTCATTATAAGTATAGATTGATTGAATTATTCGGACGACGCATCCTGAAAAGGTTTTATTAAATGAGTTAGGTGTGCGTGAAAACCAAAGAAACAAACTATTTTTATAAGGCTTCGAGTACCCGATGAACAGGAGACGATTATTTTTTATTTTTTTATCCCAGCAAAAAGAAGCACATTGTTGTTTAGAGCTCGTTAGTCTATACTAGTAATATTATAAAGAGGATATGTTTGTATGTAAGTATGTTTGTAACGAATTGACTCAAAAAGTACTGGACCGATTTTAAAAATTCTTTTTCCATTTAAATGCTACATTATCACTGATTAATATAGGCTATAGTGTATTTTCAAAAAAGTTAGGGTTCCGTATGAAAACTTCGATAATGTAACCCAATGTGTGTTAAAATACCTAAAAATAGCCTTATATCGCGTACGCTGCGGAAGTCATTGATAATAGAGCAAAGTGATGTACTAAAGTTTAATAGAGGATACCAATATCTACAAAAAATGGGTGCGTGTACTTATGTAGGCGCGTGAGAAGTTATCCTTCTTTGGCATCGTTTAAAATTAGTTTTTAATTGCATGCAAATAATTAATTACAATAAATTAATAAAAAGTCTGGAAAAGGACACAGTCAATAAAGTTCAGTTTTAATTTGGAAAAAATAAATAAATAATCAAAATATTCAATTAAAATCGCTACTGAATATAATTTATTAGAACATATGTGATTTGCACTTGTATGAAACTCAAACACGTATTCCGAATATACAAACTAGAAACATGTGGATAAATATTATAAAAATGAATACCTATAACTGTTACTTTATTACAAAAAATAAAGATGTGGTTTTTGGTTCTACTACACCAATGGTCAAGAGATGGCGCTGTAGTCTCCTGAATCGCGCTTTGGTTCCGTTGTTCCAGATTAATAAATCTGGAAAAAAAATGGATGCATGTAACTTATGTACGCGCGTGAGAAGTTATACTTCTTTAGCATCAGTAAAAATATTTTTTAATAGCATGCAAATAATTATAATTAATAATTACAATAAAATAATAAAAGGACTGGAAAAGGATAGTTAACACAGTCAATTAAGTTCAGTTTTAATTTGAAAAATTAAATAAATATTCAAAATATGCAATTAAAATCACTACTGAATTTAAGTTATTAGTCCATATGTAATTAGCACTTGTAAGTAACTAAAACACATTGTGTCTATATAGAAACTAGCAACATGTGGATAAATATTATAAATATGAAAACAGTGATCAGAGGCGACGAGCGTGCCAACATTGTTTTTGACAACGCGATCATCTTATGGAGCTCCGTGGATCGTTCAAAGTACCTTTCAAACAGATGTCTAATAATGGTGGATTATTAACCACTTAGTGGTTAAAACTAACATTCATAACGCGCCCGCGGCCAACTTCATGGTGTTACTATTGTGTTACAGTGATGCGCGCGCATCTCGAAATTTCACTCACATGATTTTTTTATAACGCGCCCGCGGCCGTGATGCGCGCGCATCTAAAAATTTCACTCTCATCATTTTTTCATAACGCGCCTAAAGAAGTATAACTTCAAAAATCAAATCGAAACAGCAGAGCAATGTTGCATTCGGTACAACGGGTCCTAAACTACGTAACAATTTTTTTACTTGGAATGGAAGGTTTATAATTATTATGAAGAAGGTCATTGTGTATAATACAAGCCTTTGAATAAAAACTATAGTCTACACTACAGCTCTACACCGAAGCAAAGCGAGGGCGGGCCACCAATTACAATATAAATATAATTTTCATTATTTTTAATAACAAATAAATTGGGGTCGTCAAAGATGTAATTTTTTAGACCATTTGTTCAAGGTTCGGCACTATGTTCGAGGTCTATCTCAAAATCGATACAAGTCTATGAAATATAATATATGATGTCCCATAAAGCTGTATTTAAACAGCAAATAATGAAAACGCCGATTTACAATACTTTGTAATTAGTGACGAAAACTAATTATTTTTTCTTCTGCGGTTTGTTGCGATGTCTAACTCGAAAACGAAGTATGCAATAAGTCATTGGTATGAGGTAGCTTCAATAGTACATAGAATCAGGATCGCTTTATTTTTTTTTGAGTGTGTATGCTGTTGGTCGCAGATGATCTTTACAGCGTCACCGGGTTTGGGGACGGCGAGATCCTAAGTGGACCTCAAGCCGAGAATTGGCGAGTGCCTCTAGAGGTATTCCAGGCGGATGGCGTCTCCCCACGGGGGGAGTCTCCTCTCCGTCTGGAGCCTCTAGACCACTCGAACCTGAGGGGGAGGATCGCAATAATAATCGCTATAACAACAAATACCAATTACAGAATAAAATAAACAATGAAGGGGGGAATCCCCAAAAACAAACGTGATTTTTTGCCTTTTTTTGCTTAATGTTAATAACGGCAACAGGTAGACGTTTGAAATCATCATCATCATCAGCCTATTAATGTCCCCACTGCTGGGGCACAGACCTTCCTTATGGATGGAATAGGGAGATTGGGCCATGACCCACCACGCGGGCCCAGTGCGGATTGGTGGGTGCTAACGACTGCAGATGCAGCCGGGACCAACGACTTAACGTGCCTTCCGAAGCACGGAGGAGCTCGAGATAGTAAATTTTTGGCCACCCATCCAATGACCGACCACTGCGAAAGTTGCTTAACTTCAACGATCGCAGCAGAACGCGCTAACCACTTGCGCCATCGAGCTCCTCACATTTCAAATATTCACCGAATATTAAAACCTTTAAGAAAATTTAAAACAAATATTTAAGGGTGCTCCCATACAATAGACGTATTCTTTTGCCATTTTTCAAATCGAAATTTATAATATAATGTGTTATGTTGAATATATATATTGGAACGGAACCCTTTGTGCGCGAGCCCAACTAGCACTTGACCGGTTACGTAAAGTAACCTGGGGTTGGTTTTTTTTACATCATCTACCCTATCGTGTGGGGTATCGTTAAATAGGACCTTTAAAATAATTTCGAGTTTTTTTCGAGGGATCCGTATGCGAAATATTGAGCTTAAAAGTACTAATTTTTGTTCGAGTAGCCTCCCTTATAAAAACTAAACTATTTGCTTGAAAAACCTAGAAAAATTCATGATAATAAATCATGAACTTTCAAGGAAAAGTATAACGGTTAAGATAGATTTGTTAGTTTAAGAGTTTGGTTCAACTTTGGTTAAAGAAAATTTCTTAACTATTGAAAATCCCTTAGAAGAAAACATTAATAGTATTGTTTTAAACTTTCATGGTACCTTGTGTTTAGAGAGTTTCCGATATTTCGGTACTTTTGCAAGCGCCATGATCACGGAGTAACTGATTGAATTGAATTGATTGACTCCGTGATCATGGCGCTTGCAACAGCGACGAAATATTGGAAAATCGCTAAAAACAAGGTACATGGTAACAATCCCGTAAATAACTTATATTACTATAACATTAATAGTGTCATAGATAGGCAACTACGGAACTGTACACTGCGCGTGGCATGACACGCACTTGGCCGGTTTTTCTTCAATAGTTTAATTAATAGAAAAAAATACCATCTCATTATTTAAACTAATTAATCTTATAGACATTGATGTTATTACCTAAATATTTTTCACAATTTTTATTTTATTTCCACCGGAAAAATTATAGCTAAATTATTACTAGTTACATTACATTATTACACTATCCATAAATTATTATTTTTCTTTTAACTTTGACGTCTATATAAAAAAAATATGAAAGTAGAAAAATATTGTTACGTGCTTCGGTTTTACACCGTCTGGCATTCATCGCACGTTCAATTCGGTCTGAGGTATATTTTGCCAAAAAAGTGTCCGCAAAAAATAGTACAAGGCCATACATTAATGTTCGTAGTCTCAAGATTTTCATTTGCGCGTTTCATATTCATTTCCTATGAAATGTTTATAGATCTTAAGTTTTTTTTATGTGGACTTTAATTTCAAGTCTAAAAAATTTTAAAGGTAAAAATTGTACATATTCTCTATTCAAAAAAGCTGGAAACTTTTTAAACCGATTTTTAGAATCAAACTGTTCCATAAAAAAAAAAAACGAAAATCGAAAAAAAAGTTTGAATACCTTTTCCACCGCTGCCGTTCCGCGGCAACTTTTCTTTTTTATCTGTAATCCGATTTCTGTAACGCTCCTCAATAGTTCTTTTATGAAGAAAAGTAAACACAGTGAAACCAACAATTAGTGCAGTGTACACAGCGAAACAATTATTCTCTAACGTCCACACAGTCAGTGATATCACATTCATTATTTCAAAAAAATGTTACAAATTTGTTTACAAACAATAAAACTGTGAGTAAAAGCATACATGCGTTCGCGACGCTATCATGAGGCGGACTAACTAAACCAAGCATGTTCGCTCCGATATATTGTAAACGAATGCAGCATTATCGGTAAAAAAAGCTGATTATAAAGGAATGTACACTTTATCGCGATAGGCATAATGATCTTTTCACAAACTATTACTCTGTGACTATTTAATGTATTCTTTGTTGGCAAAACGTCGGCGCGACCGAAGCCGTACAGTCTCGTTTCTTTAAAAATAATTGTTGCAAAAAGTAAGTAATTGGATTGAGCGTAGATGCGTAGTACAATTTACGCTAGGCCGACGAAGATGAAATTTTTAGACTTTATTAATTGCGTTTAGAATATAAAATAGATTCTGTCGGTTGTTGTTTTATTAATGATCTTTTGATTTGGCACCAGCGTTGCCAGACCTCCCGATTTTTAAATCAAAATTTAATTTCCCGCGCGGGACTGGCACAATCCCGCTTTTCGGGAATAACTCGACCGGGCGTGCAGCGTACTGAGAAAGCGCGGGCGGGTGGCACAGAAAAGTGTGAATTCAATAACTTTTAATTATTGACTTTTTTTGAAGTGAAACTTCTTTACGCACGCTTGACTTGGGGGGTAAGCTGGCGAATGCGTTACGCGTTACGAAAAGTGTGTTAGGGAGAGGCGAACGGGAGTTAAGTGGGGGATATAAGCAAATATATGGGGGAAGAAAGCAGAGATATAAGAACGGATCATAAGCATAGTTTTATAATAAATCCTCAAAAATAATGCAACTGATAACCTTACCAATCCTTTAGGTTACCAGTTGTACTTGGTGGTGATTATTTTAAAATTTTTGAGGACCCTTTAATATTGTCCATATATAAATTACATAATGTAACTACCTATTTCACCAACCGAACCTTGATCAAATAAATATCTACAATATCTGTTCAAAAATACTATATCTAAATTCAAAAAAGTAACAGTCAAAAAAAATTGTTTCCGATGCGATCCTGTGTTGTGTGACAATTATAATAATGTTTTAATCTCTGCTGAATAAAATGAATTAAAGTTAAATTTGACGCTTTTTGCAACCTCAAAAATATTTAAGGTCATTATATTTGTTTGCATAATTTAACATAAGAAGGAGATAGAAAGCCTCTCTTAATTTGTTTCGCCGGTTCTTCTCAGAAAGGTCTCATAAAGGGCAAATAAATAAACTCAAAATTACAAAAAAAAAAAAAAAAACTTTATTAACTAAATTAAGTAATAAATTCATACATAGACAATAAAACTTTAAAAATCGAACAATGAAATAACCGAACGCTCAATAAAAGTCTTTCGAAGGTAGCTCGACAACATTAAATAAAAAATTGATTCCGACGACGTAGCCTGTAAAGGCTACAAAACATCAATAGATAAATAAAGTTTCGTGCATTAACCCGTGAAAAACTAGTTTTATTTAATAAATAAAAGATCCATTCTTTTCTCCAGACAGAAATCAGAAATCAATATATCTTTATTCAAATTGGATGTATAGTAAAAAATCTCCACAACATTAAAAGCATAATGTAACAACATTTACAAATCATTATGTTGTTACAACTTCAATACAATCATGATTTATTTAATATAGAAAACCTGTTGGAATGATTGGAACAGTTAAACCCAAGCATTTTTGTCTGTAATATAATCAGACACTTTGTAATAAGCTTTTTTAAGAAGTGTTTTTTTTATACTATCTTTGAATTTATTTATGCTTAACTCTTGGATATTGCTTGGGACTTTATTGTATAAGCGAACACAAAGACCTTTAAATGAATTATTGATTTTGTGAAGCCTAGTAGCAGGTACAGTTAGTTTATTTTTGTTTCTTGTATTAAGTGTGTGAACATCACTGTTTTTAAGAAACAAATTAATATTTTTTCTTACAAGTAATAAATTTTCGTAAATGTATTGTGATGCGACCGTCATTATACCAAATTCTTTAAACCTATCTCTTAAGGAATCCTTAACTTTAAGATTATAAATTGATCGAATAGCTCTCTTCAAAGACAACTCTGCTCAGTTTTGCATTTCAAGTATTATCATGCATTTATGTTTAGTAAAATATGCCGAATTCATCATAAATACAAATAGGATTATTTATCCCCTTGTACCACATAAAAATGTCGTTCTAACATTTAAATTTATGGCAATACAATAATGGATACAACCAATCACAATGAAGTAAATGAATTTAAACCAAAATTACTTATCAGCTGTCATCTGTCAGTTAATGACAAATTGCGTCTAAAATGTTCGACTATATGTTGGTACAAATCCCACCAACTACCCATGGCCTGGCGAACCTTCTTGGTTGTGCAGGCTGAAGCAGCTGAAGATACGCGCGGAATGGCCTCCACCGCGCGTACTTTCTTGACTCCCTACAAATTATTCTTTATCTATCTCCTTGTCCCTATGGTCCCTCTCCCCTTTCTGGGGCGGACGTACACGAAACGTTTCGACAGAAGTGACAACTTAAACTATCCTTTTTTGAGCACGGGAGATTGGTAGGTGAAAAGGGGATTAGAGGATGAAAAGGGGATTGGAGGATGTAAAGGGGATTCGAGGGTGAAAAGTGAATCGAGGGTGAAAAGGTGATTTGAGGGTGAAAACACGGGATCGGAGGGTATAAAGGGGATTCAAGGGTGATAAGAGATTTGAGGGTGGAAACATGGGATTGAAGGGTGAAAGGGATTCGAGGATGATAAGGGGATTGGAGGGTGATAGTAGGGTTCGATGGATGATAATTGGGGTTTGTTGGGTGACAGTGGGGGTTGATGGGTAAGTGTGGTGATTCTGGTGACACCCTTCTGGTACCTGGGCGGGCTGTGGCGTCTATCTCCTTTCGCGACGAAGGGAAGCCAGACATCCTGGCACCGTAACGCATTAGGTAACGAAGCGGTTTACCCTCCTATTAGAAGTTATCACTTCAAAAAATCCAACCAACTACCCATGGCCTGGCGAACCTTCTTGGTTATGCAGGCCGAAGCAGCGGAAGATACGCGCGGAATGGCCTCCACCGCGCGTACTTTCATGACTCCCTACAAATTATTCTTTATCTATCTCCTTGTCCTTATGGTCCCTCCCCTTTCTGGTACGCCCGGTACACGAAACGCCTTCGTCGCAATCCCAGCCGTCCCGTGCCCACTCTGAAGTGGTACCGCTGGCTCCAAATTGCACGGTGCTCTCTTCTTTCTTCGACTCGGGTATTCTTTCTGCAACTCTCGAGTCCACTCCGAATCCTGTGCCATCTACGCTCGAACTCTCGGATATAAATCACGACACGAAACTCTAGCGCTGACCGTTATTACGCAGAAGTCAAAATTAAGATGTCTTAGGGGGAAACGAGGTGCGCGGGTGGGCGTGCGTTGCGCCGATTGGCTCTCCAGTCGTACCCATGCGAAGCTATCCCCTCCGCGTTTTGTTCAGCACTAGAGTTACGTGCCGCGCCCTGTACTCAACAGCCGACATACTGCACAGCGTCAACAAAACCGTGCAGGCTCTGTTAATACCTTTTCTTCTTTAACCCAGACATTGGCAGAATCGTCACGTGAATACGTAGCCATAATCACCAAAAACTTTTCTAATTCAGATCTTCAGCAATTTTTGTTGAATTTCTTTGAGATTTTCATAAGTGAGTCTAATATAATAGGGTATTTGACAAGTTTTAGAAAACGATCTCACGTTATTGTCTAATGTTTAAGGAGTCCGTAAAAAGTGGATATTCATCATTCTGTTGTGTATTTCAGTAAAAATAACCAAATCAAAAACTCCATTTTCAAGTTGCCGCGAATACGTTTTTCTGGACAAATTGGCGTCTTACTAGTGGGTGACGTCACACGACTGTTATTCAAACGTCAAACGATACAATGTTATGTCACTTTAACCGGAAGTTTACTTGCGTGCGACGTAATTTTTTGCTCTGCCAATCCCAAGCGTTTTGGGTCACGTGACAATAGATAAGAAAACTGTTTTCTGTTTCGTGTGTTTTTAGTAAAATTATGAATATTTTTTTGTAAAAATATTCATCCTAAACACAGATGCTAACAATAGGGATGATGACTAGTTTTTCTTTCTTCGTTTATCAGGTAGATTATCAAAAAGTATTGGACACGTATTTTTTCTTTTTTCACATAATATAAACATTGCAGAGATATATTGAGTTGAAAAGTCGCATGACGTCACGTTTTAGTACACTTAAGTGAAAATTCACTAAAAAGTGACGTCACGAGCCCCTACTCCCAAACTTTGACGCGCTATAACTTTGTCATTTTTTGGTTGATTGCCCAAAGAAAAAATACGTGTCCATTATTTTTTGATCATCTAACTGACGGACTAAATAGAATTTCGTTTACTGTACCCTGTCATCAACCCTATTGGCACTTTATTTTTAATACTGTCAAATACCCTATTTTAGATGGTTTTTGAGATAATTTGTACCAAAGTAAAAAAATGGAAGTAAGTCGAAGGTCTCCACAAAAATAAAACCATTTTTGATATTCATACTTGACCTTTTAAGTCTTTAATGCTATGGAGTTATTGCTAAAGTTAATTCACTTGGCTGGTTTTATAAACAATGGAATGCATATCGTATCGAATTCTTATCAACAAGAACTCAACAACAGCAGGAAAACTAAAGAGAACAATGCATTTAAAAAATTTAATTGCTAAACAAAATTGTGAATTACCATTACGTTATAAACAAAAGCATGAAGTCTCGCAACGTACGACAGAAGTGACAACTTAAACTATCCTTTTTTGAGCACGGGAGATTGGTAGGTGAAAAGGGAATTGGAGGATGAAAAGGGGATTGGAGGATGTAAAGGGGATTCGAGGGTGAAAAGGTGATTTGAGGGTGAAAACACGGGATTGGAGGGTATAAAGGGGATTCAAGGGTGATAAGAGATTTGAGGGTTGAAACATGGGATTGGGGGGTGAAAGGGATTTGAGGATGATAAGGGGATTGGAGGGTGATAGTGGGGTTCGATGGATGATAATTGGGGATTGTTGGGTGATAGTGGGGGTTGATGGGTAAGTGTGGTGATTC